GATATAAGCCTAGCATTGCATGGTTTTCGGAAAGAGGTATAAAATGTTTTGGCACAAGCATGGCATATGTATTCAGCTTATAACTTTGTTAAGATTCATACACTATGTTAGAGTTTCTCTACTGGACTTTGGCTCACCCTATGTAGAAAACCATTTTCAGGTGTTGATGGTATACCTCAACCAAGGCCGTAGCTTGGGAGGATTTGGAGCCAAGAGTTTCTTTTGTTATTGTTGTAATTATTTTTGTATAAGGCAAGGGCTTTATTTGTATTGAGTTTCAAACTCACTTACGGTTGTAACCATGCATCGACTTGGAAAGTTCTAGCCATTAAGGCATTCATTTATCTATTTAACTCTTATTTCATATCTTATGCTTATGACACATGCTATAGATTCAAGGTTAGGACTTATGAATGTATAGTTGCATGTACCATCTTTTGTACAATTGGATCATATGAATGTAAAGAGAACTTATTCTGAAATGTATTGTTAATTGGTAATTATTGTGGGATGAATTATTGTCCTATTTTCGAGGCGTTACAACTTAACACTCTTTGCAAATCTACATAAATTGATAATTGATATTGAACAATTTAGAACCAAGATATTGATCGATGCAAATCCTAACGTTGTGTTGCGTTTGGTTGGAGATTTGGGAGGAGATTTGTAATGGAAAAGAAAAACGTGTATGAAACTAGGTAAAATGTAAATATATTTTATTCACATTTCACATACTATTTTTATTTCCCTTTCCGCATCCCTTTTAAAATTCCCAACCAAACCAAACACTAGGGAAAAAATGGACAAAGAAGAGAAGAAAGGAAAGAGATCGTACCTACTAATCTAGAGAGAGACAGATAGGTGTCACCTTTGCGCGAAGTCTCTCTGGTGGTGATGCTAGGGAAAACTAGAAGCAAAGACGCGAATGGGCCATATATATAGGTCTTAAGTTAGGGCATAGTATATAATGGGCTACGTTAAGGGGCTGGCAAGTGGGATTGGCCTCTTTTAAGCCCAATATTGGCATGAGATGCGTGAGTCGGCCTTGCCAATATTGAAACCGAGACGAAATTTCCACCTACATGTTTCGATGGCCCGCACAACCTATTCAACCTTATTCCATATTTTAAGAGCTTGAAAATAATATTTAGCTCGTTGGATTGAGCTATACTAATTCCATTTTAATTTTTGAGTTGAGGTTGGGATAAAAAACTTTAGTCCAACCCGATACACCCAATCGTTCCTTGCCTATTTATAAATATTATTTTTAATTTTATATTATTTAGTTACAAGATAAACTAGTAAAATAATAAAAAAAAAAACAGACACACACATGTTCCAAATGACATGTTAAATGAGTAGTTAAAATAAAACATGACATTATAAAACCTTGTGCTAATTTTGCATATAATTTGGCAAAATGTCCAATTTTTGTTAGAACCCCTCAGTCTCTTTCATAAGAAAAATAATGTTGGGAACTTGGGACAAATTCACATGGTGTTTTAATTTGATTTTTATTAGTTAAAATTATAAGATTCGGTACTTTTTTTTAGGATTTTGGAGACAATTTGACAAATGTTAAGTGATAAATGGTATGGAATAATAATTCAAAACCACCAAATAATCACTCCTTTCATAATGAGACATACAATTAATATTGTGAATTTTTTTTTTTAGTCAACTAAATATGAGAATGAATAATAAAGAAAAACCACCAACGGTACTTTTTTTTTTTTATAAAGAAAATAGGAAAAAAAGACTTAGTACAACATTAAAGCAATATTATTAAAATTTAACATTTTTACACTATAATAGTGCCAAAATATAATTGAGATTATTCATTACATTGAAGATACTCTTATGCTCTATTTAGTTTATCAGAATGAGATAGAATGTAATGAAATCATTATCCCTAAGCTCTTTTATGAAATGATTATTCTTTTATAATGATGAATTATAATTTTATTTGGAATAACTTTTCATTATTTTTTTAGTCAACTAAATATGAGAATGAATATTTTGACAAAATTTACTCTATATCAATGAACCAAACACTACTCCAATTATGCTTTTTAGAGCATCTCCAATCGTTCATTAGATATTTCATCAAATTTGAATAAATTTGATCTGATACGATACACTAGTCCAATCCTTTCATCAAATCTGGCCGGTCGGTCTAGAGGAAATTTTTATCAAATTCACCCCAAAATCGATTGTTCAGGAGGATGTCTGGGAGGACATTCGGGTGAACATTTGGTCCAATAGTCACCTACAAATTTGATGAAAGGATAAATACACTTTTCATTTAATGAAAAAAGTATCGATTCCTACATTTGATACCAAACTGATAAAATGATTGGAGTACCGTTTTCATCAATTTTTTATCAAATTTAAATTTGATAAAAGAGTTGATGAAATATTGGAGATGGTCTTAGAAGCACAACATGCACAACAACAACAGCAACAGAAAGGAAAATCTTTCTGGCACTTGCATCAAACGTTGATCACTGTGTTATGTTGGCCAGCTGGGGGTAAAAGAAAAGGTTGATTGCAACCCAAGTGGTTTGATCGAGTATTCAATATCTCAAGTTTGATTCTCTTCAGTATTAGCTATTCAGGTGACAATAGACAGGGTTAGTATGACAAGCCTTTTAAATTTTGGTGAACCATATCTAATGTTAAAAGCGTAGTTTTAAATCTCCGTTTGTGTGTAAGTTAACAATTGTTCACTATATAATTGAGTGACCAGGCTATTAATATCACATAAGAGTGACCTCTAATACTTTTAACTCCCTTAGGCCTCGTTTGGGAACAGGTTAATTTAATAATTTTTTGGCTATTTGGCTAAAATATAAATTAAAAAAAATTAGTATGTTTGAGAAGACTTTTTACGAAAAGATATGCAAAAAGTAGAGAGAAAAGAAAATATTTGACTTTTTGGTATGGACTGTTGACTTTTTGACTTTTTTAATAACTTTTTAACTTTTTAACTAAATGGACTGGTTCCCAAACGAGGCCTTAGCATCTAACCCAAAGTCTACCCCCTATATAGTTATGGGGTTAGGCCATTTTAGATTGATTGCTTCTCGATTAATTTTATTGATAAAGAATTATTAGGTTCGTTATGCTTCTTGTTACCTTAACAACTATAATAAAATCTAAGAAAAAATTTTAATGTGCAATGCACGTTGTATGTAACTCTATTACAAAATTACGCAAGTTTTTTACTAATTTATATAAGTGATCTCACAAAAATACGTAAGTTGAACATAAATTTAAGTTAATTTATACATAAAAGTAAACTTGCACAAATTTATATTCAATTTATGCATTTTTAATAAATCACTTCTATAAGTTCTTAAAAATTTATATAATTTTATAATAAAGTTGCATTTGGTGTGCATTATACACTAGAGCATTACTCATACTCCTCCAAATTTCCACTTCACACATGTATAACCATTACACATAATTGTGAAAACACACATTGCTAATTATTGTGCAATTTGACATCCTTGGATCCTATTTCTGGAACCCTTTTTTTTTTTTAATTCATTTATCATTTTTTGCTTAATCCGCAATCAATTTTGAACGTAATTAGTTGCTATTGTATACTTTGGCTCTCGCAGCCAGCATTGTTCTAATAATGCCACAGTCCGAAAAAATTATTGAAAACTCCAAAAATACCCGAATCATTGAAAAACTACAAAATGATCCATTATTTCATAAATAACTAACAAAAATAATTTAACATATACCACCTATAAACGTGATTGATTTGAAATACTATGTGACTGATTTAAAATACTATGTAAATAATACTCTATGGCTATGTTTGATTTACAAGACAAACTATTAATAATCATGTTAAATTAGTGTGATATTCATTATTCAATTGGATTAATATCCATTGGATTAATAATCCCATTGGACCCACGAATTAATAATCCCAATCCCATACTCTAATCCACCCAATCAAACATGCCCTATGAGACTTGAATACTTCCCACTTAAGTTATAGTTCCCCACTAAAGTTATAGTCGAATAATTCACCACTAAAGTTAATAGTTGTAAGGGCCAATAACATAGTATTCCGTCTACATCCAGGATAATATAAAGAGTCCATGAAATTGATATGTAGAAAAGGTTAATTATCAGAAAACAAAGGAATAAATACTTATAATCTTTACTAAAAAGTTACAAGCTACGGCATACAATATATCCAAAAATTCAAAATCTAAATACAATCTTACAAAGAATGTCTGTGACCCTTCCCAAGGGTTTGTCACATACAAACAGAACAACATAAGGTCAAAACATTAAGATTGGAGAGTATAACCATTACACTTATAATCCTGCAGAAACATTTGTGAGTCTTGAAGTCCACACATCATGCAGAACAACACATTCAATTTCACTGGACATAGAAAGCAAACCTCAATGTTAATGAGCAAAACACTCAAATCTCATCCATCATACATAAAAGGTGGTCATAACTATATGCAAAACATGAGCAAAGGAGGTAAGGAGACATGCAACCCTCAACTCAAACATACATTAGATTCAAAATTTGGATAAAAACCACTCAAAAAACTCTCAAATTGAGTTTTACCCATTTCTTAGTTTCCCATCTCAAGGGAGACTCAACTGTCTACTAAAAACTTTTTAATAGCAATTTGTAGCAATCAAATTTACAACTTTACATAAAATTAACTTCTACTCAATTGTATTATGTTTAAATCTCACAATCCTTACTCAAATTTGAGTAAAAAAAATGTGCAAAATCTTTATTTGATATCAAGCACTCCGAAACTCATATTAAGGCACAAATTTGATTAAACCCCTATAGAATTAAAATTTTTGAGTAAAAACTTCAATCTCAGTTGATTTGAATAAATTTTGAATAATGCAATTTGATACTCTCATTAGAGTGCTATGAGTAATTTTCAGTCAAATATAAATTTGATAAAGTTGAGTAACGATTGGAGAAGCCACGAGTCTTCATATCAAAGAAAAGTGTTGTAGATGACACATAGGAATTGCCCTAAAAATTATCATCAGATTGCAAGTTTTGTAAATAATCCTACTTAGACCATAAACCCCACATTACAGAATCAGATGTTTTGATATAAAAATTTCTTCAGACAACTACTATAATTGTAGAAAAGAAAATATGACCAATAAAATTTTGAACTTGTAACCGCTCAGATGGGTCTTAATTTCCTAGAAGAATACCAAAACATAGATCCTAATCAAACAAAGAGAATCCCATATCTTCATCACTCTCTTCCTTGGGTTCTTCCTGCAAATACAAAGTGGAATCAACAATTAAATCACTCAAAAACAGTTCACAATTCATAAAACTTTCAAACAAAAATAACAATTATAACACATATCTATATACCTTCTTCTCCTCAACAGCAGCTGCGGCGGCCGGGGCGGCAGCGGAACCACCGCCAGCAGCGGAACCGGAAAAGGCGACGGCGGCACCACCTCCACCAGATCCAACGTTCATGATGAGGTCATCGATGTTCCTCTTCTCAAAAAGCTTGGCAAAGAGGCCTGGCCAGTACGATTCTATAGGCACGTTGGCAGCCTTAACCAGTGTCGCAATCTTCTCTGCCTGAAACGCAATCGGAAACATACAATAAACAACAACACATATATAATAAGATGATACAGATTTCAAAAACAACAAAAACAGAATAGGAAACAAGATGATTACGGTGACAGGTATGCCATCGTCGTGGAGGATGAGAGCAGCGTAGGAGCAAGCGAGATCGCTCAGAGCCATCTTTCGCGGAGGAGATAATTCAAAACTAGTTTGCAAATCTACAGAAAATCGATATTGATCAATTCCAAATCAATGAATAGATAAATAGGTAAACTTGATATTAATAGATTCGAAACCACGCAATAGACACAGAGAATCGAGAACCTGAATTAACGGGTAAAGGAGAACTGAAGCTGTGGAGACGCTAGGAATCAATAAGTTAGGGCACCACGCATATATATAATTGGCTGTGTTAAGGGTTTGTTGCCAATTGGGATGATTGTAAGCCCAATATTAGGCCCAGACGATATTGAGGCCAGGCTTATCAAACCAATTTAGGGTGGTAGCTACTCGAATTGGTTAAAGTTTTATTTAAAAAATATTAAATACTTTAGAATATTATGTGTTATTGTTAACATAAATAAAAAATTGCACGTAAATGGGTCGTAATTTATTGGGGGAATTCAACTAAGGGGTGTTCCTAGTTTGGAGCTTATATCACTTTGGTCCTTAACTTTTTAATTGTGACACATTTGATTTTGAATTTTAAATTTTGTTTCAAATAAGGACAATTAAATATATCATTGTTCAATTTTAAGGATAAAATTATCAATTTGATAAAATATAAACTAATTTGATAAAAATATATGTCAAAAATATTTTAAAATTTTTAAAAATTGTTTCTATTCGCCAAAGATAAAATTATGTAAAATTGATAAATCTTTTACACATTTATTTATTTATTTATTTTACCAAATTAATTTTTATTATGTGTTTGGATGATGATCACGTAATGGATGGTTGTTTTTATTTTCATTAAATTAATTTCTATTTTTTCAAAAGTCAAATATGGCGACAACTTTGATATCATTATTAAATCAATCCATTAAATGAAAAAAAAAATCTAAATCTAAAAACATTTCATATATTAAATAAATATATCGATTATACATTAAAAGCTTAATAATTATCAATTACATAATTACCATCCAAATACATAATAAAAATTAATTTGATAAAAAATAATAAATTTATAGACCATACAAACGGAAGTACTTGTTCCCTCAACCATTATTAGATCAACGATGGAAGCTTACTTAAACATATTGGAAGAGATATAGGATTTGGTTTGGGTTGGAACACTTATTATCTAGGGACAATAATACTACAAATACTAATAAAGATGCCAGTAAATATAACATGTCGGCTCCACTGCTTGTGTAAGGTCCGCTTAATATTTGCCTAATGTGTATGTTTGTGGGTGTTTGAGAACTGGCTATTTTAGAGATTTTTTGACTATTTTAATAAGCTATTTTAGTTTTTGTGTTTGGGAAGATAGGATGAATTTTTATTTGAGTTGTGTATTGAAAAATGTGTTTGAAATGATGTTTGTATCTGAAATGACAAATTTGTCCCTAACTTCACTTTTTCCAAAATAGGTTTAAAGGGGCAAAATTATCATTGACTTCGGAAATGATGGGGCTGTCCCTACACTGTCATGTTGACAGTGCAGGCTGATGCTATTTTAGAGCTATATATATTTTTTTTTAAAATCAATGAATTAGCGTGATTTTTTGGCTTTTTTTATATTTGAGGCTATTTTAGCCTCAACTTTTGGTTCCCAAACATCCCCTTTGTTGGTACATTTGTTATGTTCTAGGGACAATAATACTAAGAATACTAACAAAGATGCCAGTAAATATAACATGTCGGTTCCACTGCTTGTGTAAGGTCCACTTAATATGTGCCTAATTTGTATGTTTGTTGGTACATCGGTTTTGTTCCTAACTCATTATTGTATTTGAAGCACATCAGCTGCCAATTACTATGGATATGCCTCGATAATTTACTATAAAGTTGGAATTTTGATGATGTTGTAGCGCACGAATCATCCTTCATTTAGTATCTTTTTCCATTCAAGCTCAGTTCTCTCCTTTCCACCTCCAAACAACGTGAGCATCACTAGGTCCATTGCCATGCCTATGTTATCAAATAGGCCATCGCCACCAGGCTGCAAAATCATATCAACTATAACAATCTTTCCAGTTTTCTCTAGTATTGCTTTTTTATAGTTTCTCAATATCTTTGACACAATCTTCATCACCCCAGTCGTGTATTCACCTAAAAAGCATGGACACGTGACGCAATATGAACATGTGGACATGCAAATTTTCAAAAAATGCAGGACATGACACGTTGGGTACTCGTACAGAACATAAATTTTTCTATATTCATTATGTCATATTTTAAAATATTTATTATGTATTTCATGTCAAATATTTAATTTTATCAAATTTATCGACCTTAAGTATGCTATTTTATTAAAAAAATAATTTTTTTTTTTGTTGAAAAAAATAGCCTTGAGTGTGTCCTCAATGTGTCCTCAACGTGTTTGCAGTGTGTCCCAAACGTGTTAGCAGCTTGTCCCAAGTGTCACAGCGTGTGAGACTCTTTCCAACGTGTCTGACACGTGTTTGGAGTGTCTCCGGCACTCCAAACATGTTAGCAGCTTGTCCCAAGTGTCCCAGGGTGTGAGACTCTTTCCAACGTGTCTGACACGTGTTTGGAGTGTCTCCGGCATGTGTCCATATTTGACACGTTGCGGACACCTATACGTGACCTCCGAAGAGGTGCCCGCACTTCATAGATCTTCATTCTCCAGTTCAAGTGTGTTTTCTCTCTCTCTCTCTCTCTCTCTCATTTTTCTTTGTTTCGGTTCTCCCTATTCTATTGTAGTTTTTTGTTTCGATTTTTCTTTTTTATTTTTATTGTTTCAGTTCTCTCTTGCTTTATCTTCATTTTTGGTTTCTTCTTTCTCTTCTCCATATTTATTTCAAAACTTCTTATGCTTTGGTTCTTTCTTTTCTTCTTATTTCTTTGTTTCAGTTCTCTCTACTTCTTGTTTTTTTCATTAGTCTTGTAAGAATTGAAGTTATTTGCAAGAATTGAACATTCGGTTTAAGAAGAATCTGATGGATTGCTTCCTAAATATGGTTATAGGTTTTCAAAATTGAAGATATTTGCAAGTTTTTGCAAATAAATTTTATTTTAATAACTTCACTAAGCAAGAAAATTGTTGCAGAACTATGAGATTGATATCCTTAAACATTCCGAGTTTCAAAAGAAACATCTTAAGCATGAAAATACAGAACTTTTATTAGTTATACACTAAGCTCAAAACAGCATGCAAGATAGGTTAAAAGCTTAAGGCAAAATGGGAAATAAAATAGGTAGTTCTTTCCTGGAGCTCGGCTATCTCTGGACTTCAATCTCTTCGGCACACTACTTTCGGTCTCGTGGTGGGCTCGTTTTGATCTCTCTCCATGTGTTGTGTCAAAGCAGAGCGCCTGCCCTTGAACATGCCGATGTTCTTTGGGCTCTGGATCCTTTGTGTGATACATTCTTCGGGACTCCTCTTGTCTTGGCTCCTTTCGTCCGCCTTCCATGGAAGGTCGGTGAGAGTGCCTTCCGCTCCTGGTGTGCTGAGGGACTTCGGGGATTGTTCTTCTTCCTCCTTTCTGGGTGTTAGTTGCTGGCATCGGCGTATCCTGCAGCGGGTATGGTGGCTGCATGACATTGTTTTGCATCATGAAGTTGACCACTGACTGTAGGTCTGCCAACTTGTTTGCCAAGTCTTTTACTTCCTCATCTCTCCGTAGGCACCTATTCCTCCATGCCTGAAGGTTATCTTCATTATAATTCTTGCTTTGGTCTGTCCTCTTCGAAGCGTCGCCCTCCTGGCCGACGTCTTTCTCTCCGTGGCCCTGGTCATGATTTTCTGTACTGTGGTTGTCTCCTTCAACGTCAAGGTTAATTGGTCTGCCACTCCCAGCAGGAGTGTCGCCCCCAATGTTTTCCCTCTGTCTGTTACTGGCCATCTATTCTTCTAAGCTTCCTACAGACAGCGCCAAATTGTGTGGGTGAAAATCTGACCACACTGCAAGCCTAGTAATCAGTTGGAGAGCACCGGTAGAATAGATGGCTTTAGCAAACCTGTAACAGAAAGAAAAAGGCTCCGGCGGTGGCTCTTCCACCCGGGGGCACTCCGACGATCAAGTCAGTATATCTCTAAAAGATAATCAAGTGCTAAACTTATTGCTCAAAACATAATTTACGTACCTTAGACCCACGGGGGTACCTCTCTTTTATAGTTTACTTAATCCAGGTCCCACTAGAAGCCTGACTTCTATGGACTCTAATTCAATACTGACTTTGGACTCTTCAAGAGATAAAGATAAATTCCCTAAGAGTTTTATCCTTATCTTAGCTAAGTCTTCTCTTTACTCTAGGACTCTTATCCTTTATCCGCTTATCTCGGATTCCGATATCTTCGGAGATCACCTCGGCCTCACCAAAGATAACCTCGGCATAACTACCACGACACGTGGCACCTCGGCTGACACGTCGGCGTCGTCATGCCACGTATTGATACTCAGAAAATATATCCCCACAGTTATTTAACTTTGTTTCCAAAATTTTAAATATGTTACTTTTGTCTCTAAATTTTTATTTTGTGTTTAAATTGTCTATTTCTTGTCCAAATAACTAACGACAAGGGCTTTGTATCTTGTTATGATTATGATTGCTGCCGGTTGTCAATGTTTCATCAATTATTTGGACTTTTGTTCAAAAAAAAAATCAATTATTTGGAGCAAAGTTAAAAATTGAATCATTTAAAGGTAAATTAAAATTTTTATGAATTGTAGTGATAAAATTAAAATTTGGGGAAAGCACCAATAAATCCCAAATTTAGAAATGTTAACCCATTTAGTCCCGAAAGTTTTTTGTTAGACTAATAGGTCCTATTTCCCAAGAAGCTTACTATAGGCCTTTTTATGATTTCCTTTCTTTTCAAATATCAAACATTATTTATCAAATATCAAACATTAGCAACGTGAAGATTATTTACCAACCATCAAACATCAGCAACATCTTAACATCATCAAAAAAAAAAAAACATTGACGCACATTATCAACATCGAACATTCATAAACATGAAGACCATGTTCAAACATTCAGAACATTCAAGAACATCAACAACAACAAGAACATTCAGAACAAACATCAACAAAACATACGTCAACAACCATCGAACATCGACAACATCGACCATGTTCAAACATCAAAACATCATCAACACAATGATGTTCTTTAGCAGACGAGGTTGAAAACGATGTTGCTTCAGAGCCATCCATGAAGAACTTCTCCTTCTTCTTCTGGTTCTTCCTGGTTTTGATGGTGATGGATTTGCCGCCGTTGACGGTGGGTTTTGATGATGATAAGCGGCGGCACAAGGTGAT